CAAACACTTTCTCCTGGTCAAGGGACAGGACGGTGAATGACAGGCCATCCCTGTGAGTGAGCTCTCAGAGGTCCCGGACCAGGTACAGGTTATTGAAGATGGAACACCTTGGAACCATGTATATCTGGTCAGGGGGAATCATATCCAACTGCACAGACCTCAGGCACAGTGAGATGGCTTGTGCTATGACCTTGTAGACTGTACAGAAGAGTGAGACTGGGTGCCAGTTCCTCAGGTCATGGGGGTCTCCCTTCTTGGGCAGCAGGGCCAGATGGCCCTTCTGCATGATGGGAAGCTCCTCATCTCCTTCAGACTCAGCCCAGACCCCAGAGAGGTCTGGGATGAGGATGTCCCAGAAGGCACAGTAGAACTCTACAATCAGCCCATTGATGCCCAGCGCTTTGTTAGCGCGCATCAGATGGAGGGCATCCAAGAGCTTGGCGAGGGTGAGAGGAACCTCCAGAGAGTCTCAGTCACCCACACTGACCTGCAGAAGTCCCTCCCACAGGACCTGGCAGGTGTCAGCAACTATTGGAACTGGGGAAAAGAGCTCTGCGTAGAAAGGCCTTGCCCTTTCTTGCATCTCACCTGGGTCCATAAGGGGGGTGTCATTGCCTGCCAGGAGGTAGGTGATGTATTTCTTAGCACCCCTTCTCTTCTCCAGAGCATAGTAGAAGTGGATGCCCCAGTCCATCTCCCAAAGGAGCTGGACGTGTGAACAGACAGATGTGCTGTGGGTGCAGCGGTCGTCCAGAGCGCAAAGCTCTTCCCGCCTCTCCTGATGCTTTCTGCAGAGGGACGGGTTGTGTGGGTCACCTCCAGCTCCAACACCTCCTTCTCGAGCCATTCTCTAGCCATCTCCCACTGTTGTGTGTTCCCCAGGGTGGAGCGGCAACAGTATTACCTGATGCATGCCTTCCCCACATCCCACCGTATGGGTTGGCTGGCTGCTGTTTATGCCAGGCCATCCAAAACTCCCAGAAGGTGGCCAAAAAGCCCATGCCCTCCAGCAGGCTGTTGTTGACATGCCAATAGGCCAGCCCCAAACACTTGGGTTGCAGCATGACCCAAGCATACACTAGGTGGTGGTCACTCAAGGGGGGCAGTCTAGTGCTGGAGGCATGGACTTGGGTGGTGTTCATTATGGGCATGTAGATTTGGTCCAACAGGGAGTTGCATGCTTGTTCTTCCTCCACCTTGGCAAAGGTGAAGGTGGATGCATCAACAGGGTGGTGGGCACGCCAGACCTCAACCAGGGAGTGGTCCATGATGATCTCCCTGAGAATGCCCACGGTGGCCTGGCTCCACTCCCTGTCACTATGGTCCTGCACCCTGAGGATGACATTGAAGTCCCTGCCAAGTACCAGGCACTCATAAGGTCTCAGGGTCCTGAGGTAGGTGGCTGCCTACCGGTACAAACGGATCATCTCTGAGTCATGCACAGGGGCATAGATGTTGACCAAGTTGAGGATGAGCCCCTGGACCTGGACCCAGAGATGCAGCAGGAGGCCTGGCACTACCTCAATGGCGAGAAAGACCTCTGGCTGCAGGCTTGGGGGGAAAAGGGTGGTCACCCCACAGGACATGTCCGTGAGGTAGCTGAGGTAGATCCTGTCTCCCACTCCACCTGCCTGTTGGCTTTGGCGGCCAGAGTTGTGTGGGTCTCCTGCAGGAAAACCATGGAGTACCCCACTGCCACAGGAAGGAGAGCACCTGGCACCTGCAGAGACCCATCCTGCAGCCATGCATGTTGAGAGTTACCACAGTGAGAGACCTCATTGGTTGAAGGGGTTGTTAGGTTGGATGGAGCTTTTGTGGGAGGCAACACCAGCTGTGGGGCCCAGAGCAATCCTGCCACCCTCCCAAAGATGTAGAGGGCATTATAGAAGCTTTAGGCCCAATGGTAATTTTTGTCATGGCTCTCCTTGTGCTCCCTGCCTTCCCCCACCAGAGCCCTCACCAAATTGAGGACTTGGTGGAAATCCCACCCCCCCCAGCATTCCAGGGTGAGCTGCACCTTCTTCCTGGAGTGGCACATGCTGTCCAGGAATTGGAGCAGCTCCTGCCTGGGCACTGCTGGGGCCAAGAGGTCTGCAGGCTCTATGGAGCCCTGATCATCCTCTTCCTGGTCCTGTGGTTTGGCACGCTCCTCCTAGATGCTGGGTGGGGTGAGTGTTTCACCCCTCTCTACCCCCATGGGGGCAGAGGCCCGGCAGAGTGCTGCCTGAACCACCCAGTCTGCTTCATCTCCTGACACCGGGGGAAGGAGAGATGCAGCCTTTTGGGCTGGGGGAGGGGGCAGCATGGGGAGTGGCAGAGGAAATGGCAATGGTTTCTGAGCAAGGTCTCTCTTGGTGTTAGAATGGTGGTCAGCGGGGGACCCTGCTTCTCCCCGCTCAGAACTGTGGCCACAGGAGATACTGGGGTCTGCAGCAGGGGTGGATTCATTTGGGGTTTGAGGAGGCATATCAGGGACCTGAATGGTGTTGGTGCCCTCCTCAGAGCCCAAAGGAAGAGAATCCTTCCCATCGTGGCCCGCTGGCATGAGTCCAAGGGCTCCCACCTCCCCAGGTGGCCAGAGGGGGAGGGCTCTGCTACTTGACCCACTCCCAGGGTGGTGGGGGCTGAAGTCTCAATATCTACAGCAGTGGGGGGAAGGTCACAGCCAGCAGAGTTGGGGGTCTCCTCCATGGGCTCCTCTACCTCAGAACAGCTGGGCTGTCCTGGGCCCTCCTCTGTGGTGTTATGAGAGAGAGGGGGAGTGGAGCACAGGACTCACCATAGGAGGACAAATATAGGGGTGCTGCTGGTGTGGCAGTCCCCTCAGGGGGCTCTTGTCCTGCCGTTGGAGGCTAGTTTGGAAGGGGTTGGGTGGGGTGAGAGAGGGGGAGCCATGGTTTTCCCCTCTGCCTGAGGGGAGAAAAGTGGCTACCTGTAGGGGGGTTCTTGGGTGCTTGCTCTGGCTGCACTAGGTGAGGAGCTGTGGAGGGGTGGGTGAGGGGCTGGTGCCAGGGCTGCGGGGGGCGGACATAAAAGACACACAGGGACACACACAGGAGGGAGGGAGAAGCACGTTGCTGGCTTACTCAGCTGTACACAAACACTGGGAGAGGGGGAGTGGAGCACAGGACTCACCACAGGAGGACAAATATAGGGGTGCTGCTGGAGCAGCTAGCAAGCAGACAGCACATGGTGGTGCTGGTGGAGGGGCCCCACTGGTATTGTGGGGTCCCCTCTGGCTGTAGGTGGCTGCGGCAGCAGGTGCTGGCTGGTGCTGGGGAGGGTGGCTTGCAGGTCCAGGAGAAGTAGTGATGGTAGTGGTGGGGAGAGCAGGAGCCTACAGCAGCTTCTCAGGCTCCTACTGCTCCCTGCCCAGCTCCAGCAGCAGCCAGGGAGAAGTGGTGGCACCCCTGCTGCTCAGAGGCTGCTGGGCAAGATGAACCTATGGTCTGACCCAGAAAATAGCAGATCTTATGCTCTTATGAGCTCCACATATATGTAGGGAGCAAGGCTGAGGAGTGGGGGGAGAAGCTTTAAGTTCTCCGTACCTCTGGAGACGGAACAAGGAAGTGTGTTCTTGAACTCGCCTGTGGCTGCCCTTGCTGTACTCAAGGCTCTCCTAGATTCTCTAGTCACTGGCAGACAAACGCAGCCTGCAGTTTGGCTGAGAACTGGAGAAACTCTGGGAGCCTCTGAAAACTTAAGATCACAAATGGGGACCAGTTCTGAGTAGGCTTTGTTTTTGCTTCTCCTCTTCCCCATCAGGACCTGGAGTCATAGTGATATAGCAAGTTCTTGGAAAAGTGCTAATCGAGTGGTCTATGATACTGACTGATGTTGTCAGTTCCCGCAAGTAAATGAAGGCTTTAGAATCAAGGCCTCTGTAATTCCACCCGTGTACCAGGGATGGAGCCTATGCTGTGGGCACAGAGATGGAGGGAGTGCTAAGGGAGTGGGTGTGAAAATCTCTCTCTTAAAAAGAGCTTCAATATTGTTAAGCACAATAAACATTTTTAATGTTTCTCCCTTCCAAACTTATTTATTTTTTGTAAGGAATTGTTGACCTAATTCACACTGCCTACTTCTGGCAGTATTTCCTGGGACTATGTTTAGTGACACTCTTATGGACATTTTTGATTTACTGACACTTTTTTGACTTTGTTGATAGTCTTAGTTTTATTGAAATGACCTGGTTTTAGTGATATTTCCTATGACCATTTGTGCAACTATGCTCATTGACCTCAAAATATTTACCAAAGCTGTTTTCCAAGTCCTTGTGAAAAAATAATATTGAAAACACAATTTTTAGGGAAAAAAAATGCAGTTTGGGGAAAACAAAAAATGGCAATAGCAATTGCTATAAAAATGACAATAACATTTTGATAAATATTGTGCTTAAACTTGTGTAGCACATTTCACAAAATAAATAATGGGCGTAGTTCCAACCCTGTCAAAAAAAAAAAAAGAACTATGGCATTTTGAAATTTTTCATCATTTTTCCCCATTAATACTGGGCATCTCTGCCTCAACTGTTCATTCAAGAGTTGCCCAACAAGCTGACACTTTAAATTGTTTCATAAAAATATCTATAATTCCTTCTTTTCTTTTATCATCATGAAGCAAACTTTCTCTTCTTCGACTTGGTTAACTGCTTCTGAATACTACTGTGGTGTTATCGTGTGTCTTGTGATAGATTTTATTTCCCTGGAGTACCTTGCTCTTGGAGCCAGGTGACTCTCAGGTTCTTTTTAATGAGAGGTTCTCACAATGACAGAGAAGAGCTGGAAAATGTGTCCTCTGATGTTCAAAAAGCAAACAGGCCTTCTCCCCCTAAAATGTATTAAAACCCCCCAAATCTCATGATTTTTGAAGCCTCTGGGCTGGGGTTGGCTCTGCTGCCTCACTTTCTAGTATATTTCCTTCTGTATCAAGGATGATTTGGGAGCTGGCAGCTGGACAGTTTTGGGGCACTCTGTGATGGTACTGATTATTGTCCTTACCACATTTTCGTCATGGCTCCCCTCCTCCTCCTCCTTGCCAAGCAGATCTAAGAGTTTTTCCTTAATCAGCTGAAAGAGAGGCAAAGTTTGTTACATTAAGCCAGGTGGGGGCCAAACTTTTTGGCAGATTTGCCATAAATTAAGCACTTTGCTGTCCCCAAGTGCCATTCCAATCCCCTTTCCCTGCCTGATCTGCCGCTCTACCTTCTATTCCCTGCCCTATCTGCTGCTGTGCTGCCTGCCCTGTCCCTGATCAGACACGGAGGCTGCCTGCGCAGTGACTGCCCACCCCAGCCCCTCTACCCTGGGGGTGTTCATAGCAGCATGCTCCATAGCACCTAGACAGCCATTCTGATGAACCCTCACATTGGGTACTCTCCTAACCTGTTTTCTATTGGATTTAGCACTCACCTCTTCAAGGTTGAACTGTGTAATCTCAGTCCTCAGATCAATATAAATACTTCCAGGACCCCTCTGAGAGCTCCTGGTATCTGACCATTGAGGGTTGGATCCAGCTCCACTGCCAGCATGGCCCCCAGTTTTAAAGACAGCAAGATCTTGCTGGCATTGTGCTTTTGAAGAAGTCCTGGCACCAGGTAATTCACAAAGCCCTGCTTTCCAATATGGGGTTTACTGGGGGATGTCCACGTCCCTCTCATAGCTACAGACAGAGGCTTTTGGTTATTTCATATCCCATAATCTGAAGCTGATTGATGATTACTTAAAGGGACTTGTGAAAACTGAGCCCTGCCCCTTCCACCACATCCAGCTTATTTCAGCTGCTGCAACTGAACGGGGAAAAATCCCTTAAAATCATTCTGCTGCTTAAAGCAAAGGACTATTAGGAGGCTAACAGAAGCCAAGGCAGGGAAATGCCCTGTCTCTGCAAGTTCCAATCCCACCTGGCACAAACTACCTAGGATCAGCTACTGGGAGGGGGATTTAGGCAGCAGCAGGCAGGGGATCCATTTACTTCTTCCCCACATCCCACAGATAGTCCAGGAAGTCCTCTTTGTGCTCAGCAGCACTTCTTAAAGGAGTCAGGCCCTAGCACCATTAGTGGCTGGGAATGAGCTGCATTGTGACTGCAGCTGACCTGCACTGCTAGGGAATAGAAAAGAGTCACAAGGAGCCCATTGCAGAGCGGAAGTGAGAGACTTTCAGTTTTTCGGACACCCTGCACTGGGAACATAACAAAGCTTTTTAGGTGGAAAGTAGCTATGTTTTTCAAGAGCAACATTACTGCCCAGAATCTCTGTTTCTGATGACATTGGGAGGAGGGGAGGACAGTGTTTGAAAAATCTTGGCTGGTGAGGTAAACATTTTCACTTTAGCCCTGCACTCCTGACTAGCTAAGGCAGTTCCATTCATTGCACCAGCAAGTCATACTTCACAAAAGGTGAAAGACAAGGAAGAAAAAACTTCTTCAGGTTCTTGGAGATGTCAATTGAGAGAAAGAAATGGGAAATGAAGGGGGGAAGCCTTTAGTTCAGATAGTCTGTATTAATTTCTCATTAAAGAAGCCTAAATAAAGACTGAGTTTTAAAATGTTAATGAAATAATGTGGGCATGCAGACTGGAGTATAACATAAGGAGAAAATTCCTTTTGAGCTCCAAAGCCCATATTGGTTGTAGGCTTGTAATTTTCAATATATTTCATTGCAGAGAAATGCCACCAAATATTAATAGCTGCTTAGAAGCTATGGGCCAGATCCAAATGGTTCTCGTAAGTGCTTCCACTTAGGAATTGCAATGCCTAAAAATTAGACACGTTGCCTCAGAAAGTGGCAAGAACTGGCTATCTAAGATACCCCCTCCAATCAAGGGAGAGAGTTAGTAGTCATGATAAAGTGATTTAGAACACCTAAATCCTGAGTCTGGAAGCCCTTAGAGCAGTGTTTCTCAACCAGTGTGCTGCAGCACAAAAGCGTGCCATCAGAAATCCATAGGTATGCCACAGAATTATGCCATGGCAATGAACTACAAAGAACTACAATAGGTATGAGGATGGGGAATGCCTTAACAGGTGTGCTGCAGGACATTTTTATTAATGTAAGTGTGCCTTGGGCTGTAAAAGGTTGGAAAACACTGCTCTAGAGTGCCTGAAAAGACAATACTAGGTATTCCTGCACTTCTCTGGAATTCAGTCACATGAATCAGGGGTGCAAGAAAGGAACCTCCACCATCTCAGGAGCCAGAGGTATGTTGTGCACATCAGCAGCAGCACATAGTCAAATGCAAAGCCCAGCAACTCCAGTAGTATCTTCTCCTCAACTTGGAGGGATCTGATCTCTTGCAACCCACTTTTTAGGATAGTGCTTTAGCCACCAGGCTATAGTGCAGATCAGGTGAGAACTCTCTCCTCCCCTCCTTTGGAAGCTGGCTCATCAGATAGTCATGAGTCCAAGATTCATGGGGCCCAGAAGAAGACACAGCAAAATGGATCCTGACTGTAGGTCAGTGATAAAGGTGCTCAGGTGGGAGTTGGGAGTGGTTGCATTCTGCCCAGAGGCCTACCTGGTAGGATTTGTGCTCTGGGCAGCTCTGGCTGCTGTCCAGGATTCAGGCAGTATAAGCAGGGGGTCTCTAGGGTCCTGGCAACTGCTGGCTCCAGCTTTAGAAACAAAGGGGAAAGGAGCCATGGGGGTGAAGCCAGGGGAAGCTTTAGGGTCCCACCAGTTATGGGGAAGGTGACCTCCAGCCAAGCAGTTAACCTTCTTGCCTGCCTCCTTCATCAGCAGCAGTCTGTGACAAATGCCATGGTGAGTAAAGATAATTCAGTGGCAGGGAGGGGGCATCTCCTTGCCTTCACCCCTTGACTCCTTCCCCAGATCCACACAGCTGGAGCCTCAGCTGCTTGAGTAAAAGTTGTCTGTATCTATTCTGATGCTCCCTCCTGCTCTGTCCTAGCCTCTAGCCCCTTTATCAGGGCCAGGGGCTCATGTTCCCATCACTTAACCATAGTTACCAATTGTAGTTATGCTACAGGTTCTGCTCTTTGCTGACAGGGCTATTTCTGTTTTTTAAACAGTGACCGTTTCATGTGAAAATGCACAAACAGCCTTGGGAACAGGTATTAGAACCCAGTACTCCCTCCTTCCAAGAGAGCACCCGCTTCATTACACCACAGAATTGCACTTCCTTTTGTTTGCACCCCTTCTGGCTGCATGACTTTTCCATCTGTGGTGCCTGCTGGTGCAGTATCAGTGGGGGAGAGGAAGGCAACTCACACCCAATCTCTTCTGTTGCCTGTGCCTGGGGCATTCTCCCAAAGGTGGTTTTGAATCCTCTCAAGTGGAAAAGGGTACACTTCCTAGGCCAGTGCTCTAACCATTAGGGAGATTGTGCCAAAGGCAGGCCCTGCCTCCATGACTTGTTCAAGAGTGAAGGCTGCTCCAAATGCTATGCTTTGCAGTGACCTCAATGCTGTCATTGATATCAGCTAGGCACTCTGCAGGTACGGAAGCAATGGGCTGTGGTGTACTTTTCTGCACTTCTTAGGTCCCATATGGTTCCTGACTGAGCTAAGGTGGTACCTAGGTGCCTTAGGGCTCAATCTAGATCACCTCTGAACACATGAAAAGTCTCCATATAGACATCTAGGTGCCTTTTTAGGTGAAAATGGAGGTGTCAGGTGAATCTAGGCTCTCAATGGTTTTCATAGATCTCATAGACATTAGGGCTGGAAGGGACCTCAGAAGATCATCATAAGTCATCGTAAGTCAGCTGGGGTCACAGGATCCCAGCAAGATAAACGTCCAATTGACTCTTAAAGGGGTCCAGAGTAGGTGCTTGAAGCGGCAGGAGCAGTGTCCCTGGGTTTTTTCATTTTTTTTCCTTCTTAAAGGGCCAGAGATGGCCTGG